TACAATGATAACAATCGTTCAATTTTACTGTTCAGGTCCAGGAAACTCATTTCCGTCATCAAAATGTACAATAAGATCACAGGTACTAGCAATGCATAATGTTTGTCGCAAGTATTTTGTTGCTCGCTTATGAAGTTATGAATAAGGGAAATCCGGTGAAAAAATCTCATAGCTTGCAGTCAGATGTTAGGAGATACAACTTTCTAATTTTATAATATGAATATCTCCTGTATAATATAATATTACACATAATTTTACAATAAATCATCGATATCTCCTATGAACAAAATCACTACTCGAATAGAAAGAAATAAAAACCAACAATCTAGGTATTGCAAATCCATTCCTTAGCTGATTTTGAAGTGACCATTAAAAATATGAAAAAACCTCTTAATATTGCAATGAAACGCGTGCTCTGACCGTGACCGTACTGTGACTGTGATGCGTACTATACTACAATAATCCAAGGAACATCTGTGACTCTGTACACGATCATTATCTTCCTGAATGTTATTATCCGGGACTGTGGATGAAATAAATTTAACGGTGTCGCTGAAACCTTGTTAAAATTGAGGGGTGGTCGGCATATGCCGGTTGTCATTTCCCCCAATATTTCCAGATTTATTAAATGTTCACAATGATTTTTAAAAACTTACAATGTGAAAATAAAATCACCTGGGTTTTGAAGGCTAATTCTAGCGGATGGCCGCTCTGATCGGTAGTTTTCCGTGGTTTCTCCGATCAATATTAGGCGAGGCAATACCCTACCAATCGGGCCAAGAACCACGCGCGATCTCACCTTCCTCTTCCTTGTTCCCTCCTCTCCCTAACACTCGCTTACACTAACATGCACTACATTGCCACACATGCCGGGAGACCGGTCGGGAGCTTAGAACATTGCAGCTGGGACAGTGATGGTCCAAGACAATACATACGCAAGTTGTCGTGTGAGTCTGTACTGCTTTTCACTTTCCAACGGAGAAGGAAAACCAAATTCGGGATGGGTTTGTGGAAACCCTTTAAAATGAAAATTATTGTCAGTGTCAGGGGAGGTGCACATTCTTGACCAAATCACATCACACTTCACCGATTCATAAAACAGGGTTTGACACAGTGTGGTTTGACAAGTGTAGAACAAACAAATGTGCCTGATAGTTTAACGATAGCAATACGCACTGTCGTTACACTTCGGAACAACTTTCATTAACGTAATGTCTTAAAAGAAAAACGTTGTGCACATTGGAATCAGCACAAAAACCTTTAATGTCCCGTCGTTCCTACCTGTAAATGGTTCATGGTCCTTATTTACACGCTGTGCCAAGTCGAACGGCGCTTCTTCGAACAAAAATATCCACTGTTTTCTAACCCCGCTGCCATCGTCATTTGTCTACGAACCGGAAGTCTCTCATCCCGTTTCAGTTGCTTACGCAATGTTCCACACCCTACTCACCTGCACGCGATGGAGTGACAGAAACTCCATGGAGTGGCAATTTCTATGCTAGTCATGAGCATACTGTGTACGATGTTCTTTGTGTGGGCCATTGGGGCTGCGGTGGCATTGCAGTTGGTAGCTCAGGACTCACAACAGAAAGTCACAGCCAGTGTCAAACGATATGTAATGACTTTCAACGAGGCAGATGGAATGTGCTCGAAGAGTTATATAGAAATAGACACGGAAATTGATTTTCTAGCTACTGGGATAAATGGTTCTATCTTGCCTGAAATACACATAATTGGGGATGTGTGGGATGAACCAGAATCTTTGTAAGATCGTAGGATTAATTGAAATCCAATTATAGTGTGTATTTTATGAGAAGAATTAATAGTTTGCTACACGAATGTTTACGTAATTGTCTCTTAAAATCTTTTCTATTTTCCACATATATTTTCCGTGGGACTTATACTAGCAACAGCTTCCAAACACGGGTTCCTATGGAATATATCTTCTGTGATGATATTACTTCATTGGCTCAACTCTCTTATGCTTCTTCAACGCTCTCTTCATTTCCCCTCCTTACTGCCTGTAGTTTCTATAACTGCTCTATTGTTTTCTATTGTACCTTCTCTCTTCATTAACTTTAATAAAGTCCTGGGAGCTTTAGCGCTATCACAAATTTAAGAATTTGCACGCAACATTATAAACAAGCTGTAGGTATAACATTTTATTAAATCGCAATAAATGATAATTAATTGTGCGAAATTCGGTTTGATATTATCTCCTTTCCAACAGCTTGGTGGAAACATTTGCAATGTTTTATTATTAGTTTTTTTTTAATTTGTCATCCTATCCGGTTGTCTGTATGCCGTCCGTCTATAAATAATGCTAGCGCCTAAACTATTTAGATTAGAAACTTAGAAACTTAGAAAAGATTCAGAAACTTAGATTTTTCCAAAATAAAAATTTCTTGTTAGGTTTTTCTCGACTCAAATCTCTGCGATTTTGAAAATCATTCTTAAAATTTTTGGCCTACTTTACATGAAACTCTTGAGAAACTTACAAAATATTCTTAAAAATTGTTCAATTTTTCATCATCAATTTTGTGAAATAGAGCGAAATATTCATGACACAGGTCTGTTTTTTACTCTTAACTCCGAATTTTTGAAAATTACAAACGTTTTATTAGTCTTCCTCCAATAATATTTTTTCCCCAAATTAAATTTGTTCTCCACAAGTAAATCTTTAATTAATATCTGGTTCTTTTTTTTTTTTTTGAAAAAATTTAATAGTTTATTAATTTTGTTGTAATATATGAGCAATATTAAAGTATTAAAAACATATTTTTTTCAGAAACAGCTCCAAATCTTTTCTTCAAACTACATGCAGTGTATGTAATGATTGAGATGCGAATTTTTGTCTACTAGAATATTTCTTCCTTCAATGGAAAACGCAATATTTCAGGGTTATTTATTCATTTTGGGGCTTTACGAGTATTAAATGAGAATTTTATAGTGCTTATGAATGCCTATTTCACTAATAAATGCCAATTTTATAGTTAAATGTCTAAATGTTGCGTATTCTCGTATTTATTGATCAAATTATCCTTAGTTAAAAATTTTAAAAAATTGTAAGTTTTTTTTTTCGTTTTAATTCTGCAGAGAATCTGATCCTATCGATAAATCTGTTCCTTTGAACTGCCCCCACATTGCGGGTATTTCGTATTATGAAACACGTGCAGAATCGCTAGTGATTATTTTTTACTTCGAAATTTAAATATTTCTTTACTCAAAAACAACTCCAATTTTTTTTCTTAAAATTTTCACCTTGTATGTATCATAAGACAGTATAAAAAAGTATAAGAAGTGGTGCCGGTTCCATTTTTTTGCGAACTCTGTATTTTCGAAAATTGCAAAAATTCATTATTGAAAAAGTATAACGTTGAGAACTGAGATTGTCTTAAATGAAATATGATCTAAAGAATAATATCTTTAAAAAAGGCTCAGTTTCAATTGTTTCCGCGGATAGAACGAGACACACTTAAAAGAATGCGCAGATCTAATTTTCGTTAAACTCTCTGAACCTTTGAAAATTGCAAATTTTGAAATATATTTTAGATACAATATGAGAAAGCATGTGTAAGTAGTGGTAACACAACATTTGTTATGCTTAGCATTTAAAACATATCGTACATATTTTCACTTATGTTTAAATAATATGTGAGAAAAAAGATTAAACTTGCACTTAATTAAAAGAAAAAGATTGCTACTGCGATTCATCCTCTTTCTCCGAATTGCTCAACAGTAACAGAAAGGATTTCTACGAGTATTTGTCAGAACAATGATGCAAGCTAACATGACAGAAGATTACTAAGGTAAGTGATGTAAATATGGCCAGTGCAGGTAATATGGCCAAGTAGCGGCTATGGTGTTAGCTGAAACTACTTTCGATTGATTATGCTAGCATGCAGTCTGGGAGAGTGTACGAGAGAAGGGCGTTATTACCCTACCAGACTTGTTGATTCGCGCATTCGCATTCAGGAGCTTTTATTGTCAAAAACGCGCTTGGTGCTTTGTCCTTATAACCTCTTATAAACTCATAAACTCTCGCGCTATTGTTTTAAAAAATAATTTATTTCAGCCCGTATTTTTGTAAGATTAGACTGTAAGAGTGTAATTTATACTATATATTAGTATAGCTAACCATATAGAAAACATTCATTTATTTATACTCTTGGTTGGTTTGAAGAGTGTAAATAAATGAATATGTTTTCAATATGAGACGTATGAAATGTGGTGTCTAAAACCTAAGATTGAAGCTGTCCAACCTGTCAAAAGGATAAGAAAAATATATGGTGTCTTTTAAAATGCATATTTTAGACTTTTAAAAGCATATTTTATATTTTAAATGCCTATTTTGCGAGCCTATTTCTGCAGTTTTTCATGCCTATAAATCTGCAGCTTAGTGATGACATAAACGCCATTTTGCTGTATTTTTTGGTTTTATTAAAAATTAGACAAATGTATGTCGTAAATACATTCTTTACCGGCGATTTGAATACACCTATGTATTTTTAATACAAGTGCTTGAAATGATGTTTGATGGAGTTTCTCGAAAACTAAAAATTTTTCCGTGAAAACGAGCTCAAAATTGTGCAAATTCCGAAACATTCAAACGACATTGTCTCGAAAGTGGCTCCAAATTTGCTTTTTGTACTCTTCTATAATATCCTTAAAAACACATGTCACATCTATTATTAGGGGGCCAAAAAATTTATAAAACGTGGAGGGAGAGGGGCAAAATTGAAAAGTTAGCCCAGAATAAAGAGATTAGAAAAGTAACTAATACCAAAAGTTTTTGCTATTTTGTAACGCCACTACTTCTACAGTTCTGTTTTCTTTATCACCCTTACGAAGTATTTCGTATGTAATCATGCGCCGGAAAACTTCGAATTTTTTGTGCGTGCAATCACACATGATCAGCTAGAAGCAATAAAATCTCTCTGAAATGCCTGAAATTAAAAATTGTATGCAAGTATGTGTAAAATCAAGTAACTTTTCAACGTATTTCACAGAAGATTTTATTGATTTCGTGTAATATTTAATAGGTTTTTTATATAACAATTAAAAATAATGCAAATATATGTCCGTAATTCCCACATATAATTTTTTGTCATTATCAAAGAATTTGTTAATAATTGACACTGTTTTAGTTTCTTTGAATTGTCGTGTATTGTAAGACACTTTCATTTTTAAGCACAATGTTCTTTACAAATTTGAAAATATTAAATATTATAATTGGTGAAAAACATTACATTTATGTTAAGGAAACAAATATTATTACTGAAAATATATTAAACTGTTTCGTGTTTTTATCAAAAAAAAAAACATAAATGAATCAACAAAAATAATGTCCTAAAATCAATAAGTAAAAACGACATGACAATGATTTACTTGAATGCAAGAGATACCACTCACGAGCAAATTCGACAGTGATGTGATGACAAAATAATGACAATATAACATAAAATATTTAACAATTTTAACGAAATTAATATACAGTAATACAAGATATTGAAAAACAAGAACTTTGCCAGCAACTTCAGATTGAGAACATTAGCATAGTTTCTTTGTCGTAGATATGTATGAATAAAACAATCTCACAGTTTTTAAACAATGCCATTTCTTCTTGAGGAAGCAATTCAGAGAAAAGATAAAATAATCTCTAGTGTTCTTCACTTAAGCGTCACTTCATTCAAGCTCTTGTCATTTGGTCCTTTTGGGTTGCTCGTAACAGCATTCACCTTCATAGTTTGAGGTTCAAATCGTGGAAATCTTGTCAAAGATGATGTGGTTTTAGAAATTTCGATTGGTCGCTCCTGCGCCACATTACATCGACTTTGATCTTCCTGCTGAAGCTGTGACTGCGAAACAAAATCCATTGTTTTTTTAAGTGAGTCCAGAGCGGCCAACAAAAGCTACGTTAGAAAACGCGAAGAGCACCTCTTCAGACGACTGCTGATTCTCCGCAGAAGACGTCAACTTTTATAACTAGAGAGAAATGTTGGCAAATGTGGCATCTGACCGCAGCCACACGATATCCTTAGTGGAGTACGTATTTTATTGATACCCGCACAACTTACATCCTACAACAGGCATTATGTTGCGTGTGTAACTGCAACGTTTACCAAGTATACTATCTGATTTCAAAAGTGCTAAATGTCAGTTCAGTAACCTGAGCAGTGTCCCTAATGTGTTTTAGCGTTTACATTCCAATATGTTATTAAATTTATTTGTAAATCATGTAATTTAAAACGTTATTTACAACACCCACTGTATTGCATACAATAATAGTTATTTAAAAGTGTTGAAATTTCTGTGTGCGAAAATGATAAAATGGCTCCCTACTTCCATATTAATGGGTACAAGAACCGAAATGGGCCCACGGGCTATTGGAGGTATAATCGCAATAATAATAATAATAATAATTATTATTATTATTATTATTATTATTATAAAATAATAAATAATAATAATATTCCCTCAGGGCTCCGCCCCAGCTGGGAATGTGCGAAGTTCCTGACGGGTCTCTCCGCCTTGTGATAATATAATGCATGTAATTGTGTGTGTGTGTGTGTGATGGGAGAGGAGGGGACGAAGATGAATAACGAAAGATCTCGCCCATCTCGTGGCCTGTTTGAGATGGTACTGCTCCGGCATTTGTTTAGTTTTGATAGATGCCCCAGAAAACTAACCGCTAGAGCACCCAGCCGCTAGAATTCTGCTTTGGTGAATCTTATTAGTTGAAATACACCTACTGTCGAAAATCCACCACTGACGTGACTGAAACCGATGGATCTCCAGCTCGACAACTCTGCAGATGCAGCAGCAATGTTGCCACTGACCCATTGGAGACGGCAAATGTAGCGTTTAATTCGTTGGCCTAGGGTTTAATTCGTCTTAGTGAAATAATCTAGAGATCCTACCCTAATTGTTTCGTTCGACTGAGAGGTCAGAAAACAAAACGACCGAATCATCTCTTCACTTTTATTATGTTATACAAATCCAACAATTGCAAGTAAGGGGAACCTACTTCCATACTCTTACCACACCTTATCCTTATCTGAATGCCGGCAAAGGTTTGAGTCACTTACACGTCGAAATGCTGGAGCCGTAATAGCTCTCACAGCATGATGTAAGGAATTTTAAGTAGAATTACTAGCTTACGATAGTATTATTTCATAAAAGCAGGTTTTTTCGCACATTGTACATAAGTAGAAAAGAAAAAAGTATGTAAAGCTACAGCAAAAATTGTTGCCGTTTTTTTTCGGGAGAAAAATTCGTTTCGTAGGTTTCTGATACCGAAAAAATAAATAATTCTTGTACCTATATAAATAGTAAACTATTTTCTTCAACATGTTTAGTCAGAATCCAAAGTTTTCTTTAATCTTGTTGTACGGTTAGTGCTAAATGCTGAATAACATTACATCATCGCTATTTTGATGTACTCCTGAATTTTCAAAAATCACAGAAATATATTTTTTAAATCACTGTGATTGTTTTTTTTATCCTGTAAATGTAGTACTTGTAAATGTACCTGTAAATGTACTCGTAAGGAGACGGAGTCCCTCCCCCGCATCGACCTACACCGGATTGCCGGTATTTCTTCTGCTGGGAATGTCCTAAGCTCCCAAATGGCCTCCCGACATATCGTACTTGAATGTGATAACGCAATGTAAGTGACGTTGTGTGCGTGTGTGTGTATAAGAGGAGAGAAGAGTACAAGTGTATAAAATGTGTTTAATATTTACATTATGATCGGTTTTATGCATTATTACATTTAGAAGTACAAGGGCTTTAAATGATTACTCATGAAGGTTCTCAAAAACTCAAACGTTTTCGATGAAAAGGTACTCAAAATTGCGCATTTCCAGAAATGCTCGAACGTTATTTCTTGAACCACGACTCTAATTTTTTTGAATGAAAATTTGCATGTAAGACTATGCTTTATTCTTCTATAATTTGCTTAAAGTCATATTTCAATTCTACTATTGAGGGACAGAAAAAATTAGAATTTTTTTTGTACCACAATGGGAAGCGGAAAGCGGGAGGCAGTCGGGCAATACCGAAAAGCTAGTATATAATATAGAGATTAAAAAATAACCTGTGCGAGAAAGTCTGTGCCAGTTTGTAGCACCACTGATTTTTTAAAAAAAACAATGTAACACTATCGTCCAGAAGTTTATTTACCTATGGAAGAAAGGGTGCAGCGTATTGTGACACATCAGAAACTACTTGGATATGTGTAACTACAAATCAACCGAAATTAACATTTATTTGTATAGGGAACCACGGTTAAGTGACGAAAAATTGCCCATAATAAAAATAGCACATGGAGTAAGTATTGCCTGTTTCGAGCAAATATCACGACGAAGCATTTGATTATTTCCGACATTAAGCCAAGTTCATTAGCTTACGCATTGTGTCTTTGCATCCTTTTTAAAACAAATATTTGCACAATAAACGAAAAATCTATTTTCCTTAATGAGCAGGTACGGCGCGATGTCAATATCGTTACAACAACAAAAGATATAAAAAGTTTCAATATGAAATTAACTATTTTCAATACAAAAAGATCGATTATACTTCTTGGGAATATAAACCACAATATCGTAAAATAAACCAACAACCTTAACAAGAATGAAAAATAATTTTCTCGTCTATTCGAAATCTCAGTTATTGTATGAGGTACTGAAGCAATCTTATGACACACTTCTGACATTTCATGCACTAGGGATAGTAATATCTAACAAGGTGAATGCTAACTTCTAGTTTTTGTATGAAACACAAGATATGTTTCGCCCAAATACCAGCAAATTCCCAAAAGTGCATCGAAATAATATTTCACCATTTTCGCATTTGAGTTCCAGATATTCAAATACCACACTAAAATTCCTGTCTGGACGGATTTAAATAACAACAACATCGAAAACGAATCACATTTCTTTGACGTATTTCGATTTGAAAATTTTGCCGACTTGATAAGTTAGTTGTGTACCCAAATAAAAACTCTCCCCAAACGGGACATAGACATATTATAGTTGGGCCGAATGAATATTTGAGCTGTTGCTTTACACCTGATCAACATGTTGATCAATTACACCGTGCTTCCCAAAACATGAACATGATAGTCTCGGTTCTGCCTCGCCAGTACGTAACACCAACACTGCGTGTCGAAATTAGGCACACAAAAATCCAATTGAAAGTGCATCTAAAAGGCACAAATGTATAAATATTTGAGCTAAATTTTCTTGCAGAAAATCACTTCACTCAGCATGGTCTTTACCTGAAACTTGCCGAAAACAATCACTCGGTAGTGAGCATGTAAAACACGTTATTTCACTTCCTCGTCACTGTCCTACACACGATCCATCCTTACTCTCACCTCCTATTTCAAATACCGGACTTCCTTACCTTATCCACTGAGCCCAATTCCACAATTCTCTCTTCCATTATTCATTCCTCTCCACCTGTTGCCTCCCCTGTCTCCCCCCTCAGTGTTGGAGCACGATACTTCAGCTACATAGTGAGTTAAAAATGGGACAAAAAACTAGCAATTACCGACAAAATTCAGCAGAAAAATACCCGTTTAGATAAAAACAAACGATTCGATTAATGCAGCGTAATGTTCAATCTCTCAAATAAAATTTAATTTATTGAGAAAGCATTACAGTTCGATCTATGTTGGGGCTATTGTGAAGCAGTGGAGTGAGGAATTGTATTCATGTAACCACTCACATCCCTATGGTACTCAGAATTCATATTAGTACGAGTATAATTATATTTCAGGAAGCTTACCCTAGGAGAGGGAGATGATTGAGGAGGATGATTCAAACACATTTGTGTTTCATATTATTCAATACTAATAATTAACTCTGAGTGTATAAGTAAATGATACTATTATAAACAATTACTGATTGATGATGCTAATGTAAATTAAATGAAATTAAAGGTTTTACATCACCCTGAAATCAGCGTGGAAAGCACGTGAATGACATTGTGCTACCAGTAACTTGAATACTGACGCTATTAAATAATACAAGCATTTGTAGATTATTTGCAAAACGAAAAATACCACTTAAAATTATTTAAACATCACTTTCTGCATTAATCATGGCACTTTTGTATACTGCTGTTGATTCAAACAACAAATATAATGTATTTTGTCAAAGCTGTCATTTCACATTACACATTCACATTTCACATTAATGCGTGCTTAATTAGATAAATTTAAAAATTTCACAGGAAATCAATATTTGGATATCACAAAGAATTAAAACATCGTGTAAAAACAAACGTATTTTACTTTATTTCTAAACACCAGAACGTTTCACTCGATTTCTATGTCTATGGGGATGCTTTTATTTAAGATCCAAAAGCATTTTAAAGAAAGTAATAGAAGAGGCAAGGGGTATTGTTTTCATTTGCCTCATGATTGCGTCCTATTTTTTAGATTATTAAAATAATCGATTCAGAAAGCAATGTTTTCAATTCGCTTCCCGTGCTTAATAGTATTTTTGTTTTAAATGACTTGTTTCTGTTCATGAGTACTTGAAAAGATTTCTATCATGCGCGGCTCTCATCCAGTCGGTCTTCACTGTTCAAAAAACAGCGAATTGGAATTCAAATTTGCTGCATAAATAGCGACGCCTCGGCCAGTCTATGTTGTGGTATTATAAGTCGTTGGAATTACCACAACGTGTATAAATTATAAACGGCTAAATTACCCTTTATTTGATCAAAATCAGACACTAGAACGTTTCAATTAATTCAAAATGGAACTGATAAAATTTCTTAATGACTTGATAGGGAAGAATCATTATCGCTGATTACTTATATAAGTCTACATAAATCTAAGTAATATTTAGTGATAGGTATGAACTACACCACTGTATATAAATAAATGTAGTACAACCACTCTTAGAGGAGATATGGAACAAAGAAAATAATCAACTTACCTGAGTGGCAATGGCAAAACAGAAGCTGAAGCTGAAGCTTTAATTCAGGGAAGTCAGAGGTACCTCATGGACCCAAAAACAAATGAAAGAACACTCTCTCAATTAAAAATGTCATCATTGCGTTAAGAAGATTGTAATAAAAGAAATTTCGCGTGGAAATACTTCTTAGTCGTATCCCAACCCATCGTAGCTCATCATAATCGTATTACACACCCGATTTCTTGTTAATATTGAAATATACTTTTAATGTTGGCTAGCTCAGATCCTTTGTAACCGTATATTCTTAACCCGACTTATAACTGTCCACAGACCATCAGGAACTGCACTCAATGCTACCCTGACAAGAAGCTTCATATTAGAAAATTCGTGGAACATACGGCGTGAATGGAAGGGCAGCCACAACTATCTATCAACCTCCCTACATACCTTCCCTCGCCCACACTCCCTTCCCTATTCCCACAGTTTAGCCGCATTAATGCTGTTTCGCTGGTGATGAGGATTCCTTAAAACACACGTAATCTTAATCGTAATAACATATAAGAAAACATTCCACTGTTATAGAAAGCAAAAGTCACATGCGTAGGTCTCTCCGTTCCCAATATATTCACTGCCAAAGAGTGTATATATTTTTGGACCCCACAGTAGATAATTTAACCATAGGACTTAACGGGCACACACTGCTTCCTCTCTTATTTTTCCAAAATTCTCCACTTTGTTTACATTAAGAATACATTTTGTCTAAGGAAAACAAACTGATAAATATATTTCAATAGAGGTGGGTGAATTTTGGTCAGACCCATTTTTAACGAATAAAAGAAGAATGTCAGCACAAGTTAACCCACTTTTGAATACTGTGCGCAGAGGGGTCAACGGAAACCTACTCTTCTTGCAATTCTGCATTCTATAAAAAAAGTATGCGCAGTGACTTCAAGAAATAAATTTATTTATAAAATATCATATAAAAATTCTTCTTAAACACAGCTCACACTCGCATTGATAAAATAAGTTTTTATGACAATTGCCAAAAATACGAGATTTTTAATTTTTCCATAAGTATGCTAGAGTAATATTTGAATGCTAAATAAGCAATTATATACCGAATAAAACGACCATTTTGTCATAATTATATGAAATATATTAATTGTCAGTTACACTTTAAATAATAAATAACGATGAAGTGTCAAGCTGTGAAAAAGGCAAATCAAAGAATGTCTCCTCTAACCATAACAACATTACGGTTTAAGATATTTGTCTCAAGTTCGAAAACAAATAAGATTCCTAAATATTTTTTAAATGTTTATGACTATGTTAAGGAGGTTTTAAAAAGGTTACACATATTCATTCAATTCCAACTAAAAACTTATTTTTCTCTTGCTGTAAAATATTTAGGAAAAATTTCACAATATTGTGTACATATTCCAGAGAGTTCATTTACTTATAAAAATATTAATATGTAACTTTCAATAAATATTTTTCACAAAATCAGTCGTGATAAAATGTTTCAATTGTATTGTTTTAACACAATTTAATTGCTGGTAGAATATTTCAGAATGAAAGGATTTTACATTTTATACTTATTTTCTCGTTTAAAGATTCACTCATTTGGCAGAGTATAAAATACCGACTATCTTACATAAATATATAAAGTAAAACATCTTTGTTGAAAGCGTCCCCAGTCTTCCTCGCCCTTAAAATGTATTCAAAATGGAAAAGAAAACGATAAATTGATGTAGGAGATTTTATTTCTTAAGATCCTGGTCGTCTTTTAAAAACAGTTATTTGTTAAGAGAGGGAACTTCATTGAAAGGAACACTTCACGTAAGAGCAGAAAAATGAACCATCATTTATTTTATATATCTGTGAACTACCTACCGTTTAAACAGAATGTGATACATAAAAAGTATTTCTAAAGTTTGTGTGAAAATCACCTACATATTTAGGCATACATAGGCAGTAGCTACACAAAACTGTTTCACATTCATGTATACATTGCTACGGTATTTATTTAAATGTTTTATTCAATTATCAAACACTTAAGACACATATTGAACAAAACAATAATAAAATTAAAAATTACTATTAGAAAATGAAACTATAAAGTTTGCAGCTGCTTGGCACGTCCACATTCTATTCGACAGAAATATTATTCAAAACTCAATATAATGTTACCATGAATTTTAGAGAGAGTAGAGCATGTGTTAAAAGTTGGAAAATAAGAAACCGATGTCAAACAATATGACATGAGAATATGATCATCACAGTCTGATTAAGCGCTGAATGTAAAAATATTATATGATTTTGCATATAAAATTACTGCGAAGTAATTTTTTTCTCATCTGTGTCACCAATTGTATATTTTCAAATAATAAAAACTCAATTAAAAAATTAACAAAATTAACCGTTAAACAAAAATTAATTTTTACACAAAACAATTGATACTGAAATTATTTTATCGGGATTTTCGTTACATCGCTGCAAAATTATTGCTGTAAATGATGGGTAGGCTACATTAGCACCCAACATTTTGCAACAAGCATGCTCTCCTACCTGGAATCTTCATGGTTAAAAGTAAAAGTTTCAGTATTCTGCAGAAGCAGGATCAGTCAAAAAAACTGTATCGGCACATACAGTGTCTTCATTTGCTCCCAGAAAAAAAACAGTTCGACAGCTGAAATTTCTGAGTCTTATGTGGTAAGTCCGCTCACACATGCTTTCTTCTCCTTTCACAATTTATGATCGCTACAAGCTGTCTGGGTCGTCATGTTTTGAACTTTTCAATACTGTTTCCGGAGAATTGATGTTGTCGATTTTTGCCTGCGTTATATCGGCGCGGATCGCCATACACGCTACCATCACTTCCTGCCTTTCAATAATTTCTTCGACTTTCCGACATTCAAAATCTTCGACTGGAGGCGCTCTCGTGGTTAGCGACGCGCGATGACTACTAGTCTCTTCTTTCATACGATCATGAGTTCTACTCTCCTGCTGCGGACCGCGCCGTCGCCCCCGACACAACCAGAGCACGGTTATCACAGTCACCACGAGCAACAGAAGAGTTTGAAGGTCCATCCTGGCCGCCGGTCTCCCAGCAACTGGTTTGTGTCCTTTTGAGAAGCCTCCCTCCCCTCTCCTCACATTTGAGCGAGCACTTTCACTGTTGGCCGAGTGCCAGAACCCGCACCGCGTGCAAGCTGTAAAAATGCAACGTGGCTCCTCATTCCCAGAACACACTTCGTTGTTCGCGGACCTGGCATGTCGTACGTAAATATTTTTTTTAAATGGCATATAAATTAAATTTATACATTGTTTATTTCATTTTAAATCGAAGAGAAAGAATACAAAGATTTTAGGGAAAATACATCTGTCCGTATCTGCTAAAAATTGTAAAATAAATTATCTCATTGGCTCAACATAAATTTATTTATTATTGGTTTATTAAAATTATTTGATTATGTTATTTGTAAATTTTTGTGTATGTATAAAATTACCAGTAACTTTACAACTATTATTAAAACAATTTTAAAATGTCGCTTTTTAATCGTTGTCTAAACGATTATTATCACATAAAACAGTTATTAGCGGTACCTACTTCTTGAATGGTAGTAGTAATTACCAAGTTCATTCATGAAAACGCAGTGTTGAACGAGAGCCAAGGCAGAAGCCGGCCGTTGAAGGCCAAACGAGGTTCTGTGAACACTCGAAGTTGTTGACAGGAAGCATTAACTTGCTGTACCCGAATAATATTAAGAAAAATAAGAATTACTTTCAGTTGAAGTTGCAGCCCCATCGTAATATAAACTTAATTCGACAAAAAAGATTTTTAGTTGCTAATGACCTAGATGTTGATGCGACCTTAGATAACAAAAAAAAAGTTTTGCGATCGCATTGCGAAGGGCATTAATACCAAGTTGTAGCGGTTGAGTAGATACAATTTAGAACGTTTAAATGAGCATCTAGAAAGCTTGTTTCTGAAGTAAAATGTAAATTATGTTAAGATTATACCTTCAGCATCAGATGAAAACAGCTTATAGCTTAGTTCATCATCCCACTATTGTATAACGATTCTTTTCTTTAAGAGTGAAAAAATTCACACTTCTTAATGAGAATATGATGAGGACTAAAATAGAGGAAATAATTTATTATCTTTCCTTGAAGGTCTTTAGAGAATGAAAATTGTTCACATTATATTAGATTATTATAATTATTCAAGTATTTATTTTTACCTCTCAATCAACCCTATAAAAAATAATTTAAGAAATTACATACATTACACGTTTAAACAAGAAAAAATTGGTACAATTAAGAGTGAGAAATTTCCTTGCTCATTCACAAATCAATCTGTCAATATTGTCTATACATTTCACTTGTTTTCATCTATTATTTTCATTGGCCTTTACTCTTCGTCCCTTAACATTGTCTACATATTCGTAATACCCTTTGATAAGAGCTATTAGTAAAACTATCATATTTTTTTCTTTCTACATTTTTAGTCAACAGTTGCCTGAACTGTTGAAATCATCTGCAGTAGTGGTCATGAGATAGTGTACTCTAATTTTTCAGATGAAAAATGAAAATACCTTTTTGCATTTTCTTTCTCTTAGGCACGCACGCACGCACACATTGCACATCCATCTCAAGGCACACACTCTTCGCACGTTTTTGCGCCGCATATAACGTGAAAAGGGTGTTTCATTATAAAATCATTTATACAATTTTTGAATCACGTCGGACAGTTTCAAGGCACGAACTCAACACAAACAATATGATTAATTGTTGCAATTTATATGATGAGATGATGTTGAACATTTTTATCACAATTAAAATAAAGACTTTTCACTATAGTTACGAAAGTTCATTAACTTAATGTCACAACCCCATCAAACGATGTCACGTACCTGTCACAACATACAATAAATCCTGCCAATATTACATGTCCAGTCCTACAGAGACTCTGGGTCGTCAAAACTGCTGGTCAGCGTCGTTGTTGCCACATAGGAGCCAAGTTTTGTATTGCCAGGCTGATTACCTGGGTTTGTAACTACGGCCATTCTCAAAACAAGTGTATCTGGATTCACAGGCAAGGTATCGGCTTCCTGTGTAACGTCGGAGATTCTGTTGTCCACCGTCACTTGTTTCTTCCCCATCCACTTTTCCAGCAGCAGCAACAGGGCCGCTTCTAGTGCAAGCGTGGCGAGAATCCACGACTGCAGATCCATCTTTCCTGGGTGTTCAGGAGGCACTGCGTGATTAACACTGTCGCACGGAAGGAGCGGCTTTGGAGGAGAAGGGATACGAGGCCGGTGTAGAGGATGTTTCGAGGTCAACGTAGCCGAAATACTTAGGCGTGGAAGAAGATAGGTTAAATCAAAGCAAGGAATTGTCGCAGAGGTGAGGCGATGTGTATAGAGTCCATTCAATGTTCATCTGCATATTGTACCAAAATATTTCACGGCATCCAATAAGCACAACTCGCGATTAACAACCGTCATCTTTAAGGTGGAATGATGTGGAACATTTTTCATCTCAGTTGAAATTAGAATTTGGATTATTCACTATGGTCGCGAATACTTTGCCGTTATAATTTCATAACATAGTGTCACACTTAGAAAGCACCAAATTCTTTTAGCACAATAAAACATCAACTTTCAACATTATTTGTAGTATCTATGTTATTCACATTATTTTCACAGTTCTCCAGAGACTCTTCTTCAGGTAAACTACTTTTGATTATTGTTTCTGCCATTGAAGAGCCATTGTTGGTAGGGTGAGAACTCGATTTTACGGATATTTCTAAACATTTAGGTGTAAAATTAAACATAGGTTTAGTATCTGCTTTTTGTTTGCTGAATGATGTAATGTTATTCTTCACAATTTTAGTTTTTCCCGACCACTTTCCTAGTAGAAGCAACACAACCACTTCTAAGGCAAACACAGCAAGCAAACAAGTCTGCAGGTCCATCTTCCTTGCGTGTTGGAGAGGCACTGCTTGAATAACACGGTGGAAAGGTAAATATTAACTGTGGAAGGAGAGGGGGATATGAGTCCGGCCTCATGCAAGTTTAGAGGTCAGCGCAGAATCAATTATCAGGTGGGGATGCACGTGGGTGAAGGCAATGGAAGGAATAGTTTCAGAGGTGCAGCGATTTGTTTAAATATTTCAATGCTCATCAGTCAACTGTACACGACACAAACTCGGCACAAATGGTGCAAATTAACTACCGCCATTCGTAAGGTGGAATGAAGTGAAGCCTATTTCATTGCAGTTTACATTCGAGTTTGAATTTTTTACAATCTATAGGAATATCGTGACACTATATTGTCATAAAATAATACCATAACAAGAAGATATAAAATTGTTTTAACACAATAAAACATTAACTTTCTCATTTTTCATTTTCACAAGTGTCCAAAGATTCTGCGTCGTCATGTAAACGTATTCTCATTCTTGTTTCTGGCATGGTGGAACCACCTTCCGTAATAGGTTGATAATTTGGTTCGTTCTTTATTTCTAAACTCCTACCCACAGGTATATTCACAACATTGATAACTTTCTTTTCAACAAACGAAGTTTTTTTCTTTATCAGAACTTGAGATTTTCCCGGCCATTTTTTCAGTAGCAGCAGCACAATCACTTCTAAGCCAAGCACAGCGAGCAAACACGATTGCACGTCCATCCTTCTAGATTATTCGAGAGACACTGCGCGATTAATTGAATAAACGGTTGGCGGGGGCTGTAGAAGTGGGGGATATAGCACTAGTCTAATGGAAGCTTCAAGGTCAGCAACCGCGACAATGTGTGGCGGGAATGGAAAACGACGAGTTTAAACTAAAGGTGAAGTCCAAGTCAAGAATAGAGGCGGGAGTGCAGCGACAATTGCAAATAGTGTTTGCACTGACCTTTCAAAATTTACGAGTGTCATCTGAAAGTAGTTCATGGCACAATCTCACAAAGATGGCATTAACTATTACACTTTATTTCATGTGCTGATGCGAATACTCAAATGAATGTTCACACAATTAAACATGAAATTTTGATATTATTCATTTTTACAATTCTCCAAAGACTGTACGTCATGTAACGTTTTTCAGAATTGTCTACAGCACATAGAAACCATGTTCCGTAGCAGGTTGACAATTCAATTGCACAATTATTGCCTAATCCCAAAATGCATTTAAATCCGTAGGAGTAGTATATTTCCTTTTAAGAAGATTCTGTTCTAGGTCACATTTTGATCTCCCCCCCCCCCACACACACCACATTTCCAATAGCAGTATCACGACTGACAACAGTTTATCCTTCTTGATTTTTAAAAGTTATTGTACTATTAAGACTTTATAATCAGTAGGGGCTGACTGTGGAAGAAGCATAAATAGTAGGCTACTCGAAGGAAAACTGCGAGGCCAGCGCAGCTGTAGTAACAAAACCCAGGCTGCAATGAGGAAGATTGTGAGTACCAGGAACAAAATGCAGGTTACGCGAAAGCGGCGACCACATGTTCATCCAAACGTCAGTGAAAGAAAAGAGCCAGAACCGGAGGCAGTGATGGTGACAGGCGGGAGCGGGCAGCTCGTGGTCAGACGAGAACGGGACGAGACGGGGCAGAAACGGGAGGTGAACGGAGTTGAGGACGGGAAACAGGGATAAACGACGCGGGGCGAAGACAGAAAAAGAAGGAAGGAGAGGGGGAAAGGAAACAGCACTGCGAGAATGCGTCATCGGGTGTTGCTGTAGAGGGAGCGGGAAGCAAAGAGGGGAGGTGGAGGAAGTTGCGGTTTCCAAGGGGAAAACAACTGCTTCGAATTTTTCAGCGAAGAGGACGCGAGAGAGGACCCGTTTGAGGTCGAGGATGACGAGTCGGCTTCTGTGCCAAGGTCGAGGTTGATGTCGAGACGGCTATCGCAAGCAGTGGCTGCGATGCCCCCAGAGACTGGCTTTGCGGAAAGCGGAGTGGTTTAACTGTTATGGGCGGGCTGTAGCTCCAATCAATGTGTTGCAAGCGGCTCCCTCCAGGAAGAGGTCAATTTGCAGCATCATTAAGACAATCATTAATAGACCACATTGGTGCCAATTCTTTTATCATGCTTTTCATTCTGTTCATGTACTTTGCTCACAAGGCTGAGGGAAAAAATTGTTAACAAAATCACGAGGGGAGAACTCTTTGACAATTAAACCTTAATAATGTCAACCTTTACTTATTCCAAGCTCTTTTTTCAGTCGGAAATGTCATTCAGTATTGAATGTCTTTTTATATTCAGTCTGATAAACGAACCAAAATGTTTGACGGTATTAAGAAATTTACTCGGTTAAAACAAATGTTTTCCATCGCTTTCAATATTTTTTCGGGGTCTGTGTACAGCTCCGATCAGCTTTACGACCTCCCCTGCCAAAGTTACCTATCGACAAGTGTTCTGACCCATGTTTCAGGAGACTAGAAGCATGCCATGTGTACTTGACCATGACGCTAGAAATAGAACGAAAATATCCCTGAAAGCCTTCGCCAGATGGAGAAATGAAAGCAATCATCTGCACACGAGTAAGCAAAAGAAAATCACCACGAAGGTACAAAGAAGGCCTGTTCGTACTCATGAAAAAATCTTCAGACATATTTATGTGTATATTTTTATTTGTTACAAACGAATAAAATTATACATTTAGGTATCTTACGGCTCTCAAATTCATAACCACTTCGTCCGTTTCTCGAATTTGCCGGATTTCGTCGCAGAATAAAATTACTTTTACAAGTGACATTCACCATTTTTAAACAGCCTAATAGACTTTCCTTTTATTTCGATGCAAGTAGATGCACAAATCACTTAATTTTTACAATACGATCAGTATATTCTTTATTCGACGAGAGAATGAAGTGGATATAAACATTTCGACATGGGTAGACAGTCGCCCATTGACTTCATTCCGTGACAGATACTAAAGTACACGACTAATAAAATAGTTCCGTAAAATTCATGTAAATGTCTGTAATATATAGCAGTAAATAAGTTGTAAAGTCAAATAAGTGTAAATTTACTCTACATGAAGTGAGGTAAACTACAATAGTGCATTTCAGGCGAGGAAGTAGTTTCGATGTAATGGCGGACCGCATTCCATGTAAGCTTATTGCGTATTAACATTTAATTTGAGCAGAATACATGAACGTATAAGAAACTTAAACATTAGTGTCAACAGTTTAAAATTGTGCGTATGGATTCTTCTATATGACGTGTCGATTAAATGATTCTCTAAAGTGCAATTTTCACTCATGTGCCATGTCTGAGCAATGATCTCTATTTAAATTAACGTCTGCAATAGTAAAACATTCACGGTAAAAGTAGAATATGATGAAACCACTATTATTTTGTAATGTGCCCAATGAATTACGGAAAAATAAGACAGAACTTGCTACTAGTAGACGATACACTGTCAGATTTAAAGTAACTCCTTTTTTCTGATCAAGCAACACCTAAATTTCGTGTTAAATCCATGATAGATTACTGCAGTGCTTTACCATTTTTTGTTTCTCGTGTAATACAAAATTCGTATCTCATACGTAAGACCTGCGATAGATTGTGAGTCATTTGTGTACCATCTTTATGGCGATGGTCTTGACAGAGACAATAACGTTTATAAATAAGATGCTGGTAGGTTGTAAAAGGTTGCACGTTCCTAGATAAACAAGGAAATGAAGATATTAGAAAAGAATTAAATATATTTATTTTAAAAGATTGTATATAAATATATAAACAAGACTGGAAAAAACATTTAGAAAGAATGGAGCACAATATGCTATCTAAACAAGTGCTGTAGTACAACCCAACAGGAAGAAGTGTAGAAAGACCACGCAGAAGATGGTTTAATATGTGAAGACAGAACAGGCAGCCTCTTAATCCTTGAAGTGCAGAAGAAGAAGAAAATGCTGAGTGAATGTATTATCCTTACAAGTGCTACGATATCGATCGTTATTCTTCAAGCAAACATTCTTTTCTCTTTCGTATCCTACACATACAGTGTGCAACGTGAATTCGAGATTGCCTACAGCCTGAGGGACAGTGCAGCATTGGCAATGATAGACTAGTGGCTACGGGCAACGCGCTTCAGCGAAGGGATACATTTTAGTTGGTTTATTTTCATTCTCTCGTTCAATAATTCATACTAGATGAAATAGTACCTGATGCTGTCAGACAAAAATTTACCCCAAATTAAATCTAGCCATTCAAAAGATTTATTAAATCATCCTTAATTCCAATGATTACCTATTCAATATTAATAAATTAGGAAAAATTAAAATAACTGTTCAGAGGTCTCTGCTGGAACTACCTTCGAGATTGTTAATTATATTTGTTTCATTGTATTTACAATATACAACAAAATTAATATAATTTATGTAAAATATCTTGAAACCCTTTGAAAAATTTTTATGTCGAACAATAAAAATAAATATTTAAAAAAAGGACGAAAATACGGTGTTAGCTTTGTTGGTTTCTCGGTTTCATTCGAACATTTTTGCATCGTCTTACTTTTAGCTAAAAATTGGACTTTTAGCATGTTGTGCATGCCCTCCAGATAATGGATTTTACTAGTGGCTGTCTAAAAAGTATATTACTCGTAACTTGCAAAATCGGAAACGATTAAAAATTAAACACTTTTTGTTGACCTCGTTACCTCTAGTAAATGTTATGTTGTCCATATTATTTTATATTCTTTATCTCATTTCTCTTTGTTTATAATAATTACGTTGACTAAAAACGTCGACAAAAGAAAATTATCTGTTATTTATATATCTTAATATCATAAATATTATATAGATTACATTTGTAATAAATCAAATTGTTTTATACAAGACAAATGTCCATTTTATTATTTTCTGTCATGGAAATTACACAATTAACAATACGAACTTACAGGACAATTTTGTAGCCAATTTATTCATTTCTCAATACATGAGGTTTCCATGAACTTTAACCTTAGTAGTACCGAATCAGGTAAATTCTGGCACGTCATTAGAACGTTTATTCTGTAATTTACATACATCGTTATATTGGGTCGTATTTATAAAATTTGAATTATTTCTTATTATATGGCTTACAAATACATTCAATTAGCATAATGTTATTAATTTAATATTTTCAAAGTATACATTTCTATTTTCCACCCGGTCACTCAGTTTCTTCTATGAACAATGCGACACATCTTTGCAGCAATGGTAACAGCATTACACTGACATTGAAACTGTATCACAAGGCAGAGAATAAATACCGAAGACGCCGGACTCCCTCGTGTAACAATGCTTTGTAAGCATAGTGTGTCGTGCTCTTTAAGCCTAGTATCTATTTGCTCTGCTGTAAGCTTGGTCGCACGTATCGGAATCAACGACAACCAATTCTTACGTACTCCCACTTTTCCCCCATTTCTTGATGGTTCATTCAATTTGAAACATTCACGTCTATCAAGTTATGGGTGTAAATAATCACATTGTTTTGGGATAGAAAGAAACTATCGTCTCAACTCTTTAAACAAGCAGTGGTATCGGTGTATTTGTATTGATAAAATACTTTCCCTTACTGCGTTAGTATGATATACGAGTATATTTCAATACACCCAGGCGCATTAGTAAACAATACATACACAGTTTAGTGCAGCGACATGTGCCTGTTGAAAAACTAGAAACATTCAATTAGTTGTTTTTTTTAAATATATATATATATATA